TTAACTGGCAATGTCAGAAATTATTGACCTGAGTCCCCTGGGAGGCATTTGTAGGGGCTACCAACTATATTGGTAATTTATACATCTAAAAATACAAATTTATACATCTTTAAATCTTAAAATGGTTGAATCTTTTAGCATTAAAAGATAAAGGTAAAAGGAAAAAGCTACCAGTGGCTCTCAGTGTTTGAATGTTTTAGAGATAATCCAAATCCAAATTCTCCCTCTTTATATCCTTTCATGGTTCACATCCTTTGCCAAAATCAATTTTTTAAAATTACTGTTTCATTCAGGCATTTAGGACACATGTATACAGGTACTACGAACAGTACATATACACGTTACTATGCATTTGAGGGAGCTGCCCACTAAACACTGTAAATAAAGTCAGTTTATCATGTAGTTTAATGTGTCTGCATTCATGCAACTTGCGCTTGAAACCAGCATTCAAGGTAACTAAGAAAAGGGTTTTAATATTAAATGTTTACTCTCATTACCAAGCTGAACAGTAATTTAATCAGTGGTTCATCTGAGATGTTTATATTTGCCACATAAAATCCAAACAGCTGTACTTACTGGCCGGATGGTACAGTCTCCATGGAAACATCAATATGTAAAAAAGGGCAAGACCTAAAATCTTTGTTAACTCTCCATCAAGCTGTTAAGTGCATTTTTGAAATTAGAGTTGACCTATAAGTATACTGTAATGCTTTAAAATGTGGTGTTAAAAAAATCAATATAGTTACGAAAGTATACTAATTAGACAGCATCTCGGCAATTACAGTCAGTATTGTCAACATATTTTTATTATCCTGTGTCTAGTATTTATGTAAGACAGAGACCTTCCAACTTCCTATTAAATATATCCTTCCCAAGTTACTAGCTAAAACCAATCAATACCTTCCCCTTGAATTGTGTGGTTAAAAGAATGAATAAACTGTAGCAGGGGTAAATTTAGAAGAAATAATATAGGTTCTTTATTTTAAATGAACACTGTCTCGGTATAATTCGTAGACCTTACTTAGGGAGCAGACAGGATAATCTTTATTAAGAAAATAACGCAGGATAATTGAAGCAGGTAAAGCAAAATAAATTTTAATATCATATACTGTAAAGTATATTTTCAAACAATCTGATACGCCAGGAGATGTCTGGATAATAACTACAATGAATGGATTTTAAACAAAGGCTTGCAGTATATCACAATGACTTGAGTCACAAATGAAAGTGTATTAAGTAGCGGATTCCATTAACTGAGGGATCTAACATGACCATGCACACATGGAAAAGGTGGCTATCTTCAAAGGGCCATTTCTGGCTCTTTAAAGATTCTAGATGATAGTCATTTGCAAGACTGAACAATGTGGTAGAATGCTATGACCCTGGTTATGTTTTAAAGTTTACTACAAATATTCTGGTTCTAGGATATATACTGCAAGAAATAAATTTTTGTTACTCACTGTGGTGCACGTCTGTAATTCCAGCACCCTGGGAGGCACAGGCAGGAGGCTCTCAACTTTGAGTCCATCCAGGGCAATGCAGTAATTTAATAAGACTGTCTCAAAATTT